TGCAAATAGTTGATATGGTACTGAAGAATACTGCTTCAGATAGGTCAGAAGGAAATGTCTTGCAGTGACTGATGACATACTTTGCAATTAGTAAGTCTGAAGTGAATATGTCAAGAGGGGAGAAAAAAGAAAGGGACGCCTAACAGAAATGGAGAGGAACACTGCTTCCACTACCAAAGCAGAAAAGTGGGTAGTGTGACCTGCATATGTGAGGATACAAGCATGTCTTCGTGTGTGTAAGGAGAAATAGGTACGTTCCTAAGGGAGGTTGCCTGACATCCTCTGAAATTTTACTTGTGGACAAAACAGTCTTTATAAAAGTACATGCTGCAAACTGTAGTGGGAATAAGCTGCTAGTTTACTCTGAGTTTACTTCTGCTCGACTTGAGTATTGCTAATGTGTATTATGAGTTCAGGCGGGTTTTTTTTGTTTTTCAAGTGGGAGGAATTTGGAAGAAGCATGATGTTGGGTTGTTTCCTTTTGGAGAAGGATAAAATTGCAATAGTGGTTTTAAGAGTCTCTAAACAGTAAGGGTAGAGGCCGTTGTTTAGTCAGCTGACTGTGAATGCTCAGGTAGTTACCGTGTCTTGAAGCTGGAGATGTAGAGGTGATGCTGATTACTGGTGTTCAGGTGTTTGGAAATATCAAGGTTGCTCAAGTGTGTAAGGATGTTATTGGCTATAAATGTTTGGCTGTAATTCTCACTTTCTTTAACTCTTTTAAGCGAGCAAACAAAAACCTGAGGATGTCACCTTGGGAAGGGTGATCACAGTAGTAAATGTGTGGGGTTTTTTTTCTTTGTCTTTTTTTTTTTTTTTCTGATTGCATGCTTGTCACAGAGTCACGTTTCTTCAGAACTAGAATTTAACTAGTCCATAAGTATTAATAATCCCAGCAGAGCTGCTTAAAAGTGGCTGGAAGGAGAATTGGACTGAAGAATTTGCACTGAATAGACAAGGAACAAAAAGAAGACAAATGTCACTGCTTATAAATAGGAAGCCTATATCAAAGGTTTACTCATTTTGCTTTAGGAAATCTGTGATAGATGAAAAACAAGGTCCAAATTTTGAGTCCTAGTTCTTTTTATCTAGCTAGAACTTCCCTAGGATATTTGAAAATGAACTGTTCTCCCTCTAAAGTTGCTAAGAGTTTTGTGTTTTCCACATGCAGCCTTTGCAGCTTGGTTATAAAAATGCTGGGAAAAAACAGGCAATAAAAACTGTGCACAGACAATTAACTGGGTTTGCCTCTCTTTCTCCCCTTGCAAAAGTGAAGAATCTGTGTTTTTGTAATAAAACAGTGGGTGAATTAGAGATGCTTTTAAAACCAATTCTATGGTTCATTATTTCAGTGCAGTTTCTTATGTATGCATCATTGCACTCTTCTCCACCTTCACACTTACCTCCAAAACTGGACACAGCCCTTGCTCTGCAAGTAATGATAATAATTGGTGGTAAGACAGACCTGTTACTCATCCTTTTCTGAACACATTTCTCGTGGCAGGTGTCTAGTTTTTAATTAAGTGCTAATGAACATGCTTAGTGGACCGTGATACTGCTGCTAACTTCTTCAGTTTTATATCTCACTGCTGCTGAGCTCTTAAAAGGTGACAGAGCAGGCATTAGTGTCTTTGAAGTGACAGGGAAGTGATTATATGCATAACATAATTGTTTCTAGGATCTAATATGGCAAATGTCTAGTTACTAAATAGATCTGGTAAGCGCTGCTGTTATCTGTCTTCTCAGTCTTATCCCTTTGTGTGTAGCACATACTACTTTTCTCCTTTCTAAAAGGAGAATGAAATATGCTTAAAACAATTCTAATGATGTAAGTTAAAAGAGAATAAGAGAATTTCCTGGGAAGGGTTGTCTTTGTGTTGGAAGAACTTGCAGCCTTTTATAAACATACACGCAACAAATCAGTAAGTGTTAAAAAGCAGCAAGCCTTAGATTATAAATGGTAAACCACAACATACTTTTATTGGCATGTAAGACCATGATCAGGTTTTCACTCTTAAGTCAGTTTAATTTATCTTTCCAGGATCTAAGGCATCTTTCAGGATAGGGTTTTTTTTTTCCCTCTTTTTTTTCAGCACCATTTTGTTAAGATTCCAAGATGTTTCTTATTGTGTAGAACAATGCATTTTCTCTTATGGCTGTTGTTTTTTTCTCTGCATTTTAAGCTGAGCATTGCAGGCCTTTCTTCCTAGTATTCACATTCAGTACTTTCAAAGATGAAGAATCTGGCCTTTTTGTCCTGTGCTTTCAATTCAGAACCTGTTTGCCTCTTTTCTGAGACATTTGAAATATATTAAATGTGTGTAGGCTACAAGGCAAAACCAAGGTAACTGTAGGTAACGTCTGCAACAGTTTGATTTATAAAGACTACGCTTCTTGAAATCATGTTGGCTACGACAATTGCCAATTAAAGTAGGCAAGAGAGACATGAAAAAGTAATCTTCACGGGCTTTATGGAGTGATGAGAGCAAGAACTAAACCATTTTAATTTTGTTTGATTGTTTGGCCTTCCTATGCCCACCCAAGCAAGCTAATCTAAACACTCTGTGAAGGAAAGAGCAGGTTTCCTTCCAAGATGGCAATCTGGAGACGAAGTCGTCACTTTTTTCTTCTTAGCTATTTGCTTGTCACAGCTGGGTAATGCAATGTGGCACTGCAAATGGGGACAAGACCAAGACTATGGTCACAGTGCAGTCACAGTACTGCTGATGCACGCGGTCTGGCGGCTCAAGTACCAATGACAGACCTCAGTGACTTTGGCCAAGTCAAAGAAGAGTGGAATGGTAGGATGCCACCTGTCTGGAAGAACCATCCAAGAAGTCATGTCACTGGAGTCTTGATAAAGTCTGTTAGGAGGAGAGACATCCTCTTAATACTTTCTTCAAAATGATAGGCTTTGTGTAAATCAAGTACTTAAAATAATAAAAACCTGCTTACATTGCTTTTAAATGATATATAAGTTTCTGTTAAGAGTTGGCATCAATAGTGATGAACACATATCTTGAATTGAAGACTAGTGTTCTTTTTTATGCTACATTTGAAAAGGAATTGCTAAAACTTGGTTTGAGAAGCCAAAGCTTTGGTGAACTCTTTGACTGTTTAAAACTGTCTGGAGAGCCTTTGGCAAATTGAGATTTGCCAAAGATTCCTTTAGGAAAAATAAATAAAAGATGGCTGCTTTACAGTTGTGAACATTGGAAAAGTAGAGGAATTTATAAACAATTCAAAGCATGTTTTGGGATGAGAAAAGAAATGAAAAGTATAAGAAGTGTAAGTGAAAGAGTACCATAGTTATCTAAGTAATAAAAATCAGTCATTAATATTGTGGATAGTATTTTGCTGGTGTTGTTTTAGAGAGATTTTTAGTCTACAGAAGATGAAAAATTGTTTTGGATTATTTTGAGTATTTTGGAATAATTTGTGAAATATTGTGAGCTTTTTTGTAGGCATTGAGCAACTATCAGTAGTTCAGGATTAAATTTGCCTGCTCTTGCCATGTCCTTCAGTAAGGCCAGATTGTTGGCTTCTTTGGATGTATTCTGTGTAAGTTTCTTCCCTCTTGCTTGGACATTTTCAGAACATAAGTAGACCTCCACATTACCTCTTAATAGAGGAAATGTGGTAGGTTAAATTAGAGGATACCTTTGCAAAGAGCTGTTTGTAAAGCAGTTATTTGTATCCATCTGGACGTGGCTGCAACAGTTCATTTTTTCTTATACAGTGACTGTAGTAGGTATTTCAATTTAAGATCTGATACAATTTTGTTTTCTTAACTGTTCAAGGGAAACTTTTTTTTCTTCTGATCTGTGCCTTGGACATTTCCTAACGGTGCTTTGCTCAAAGTCTTAGCTTCCTTCCTTTTCCTCTGGTGTCCAGCTGAGAACATACTGTTCAGATGTTTGCTTGTCTTGCTTTGATATTTTCTCATGCTCCCATGCCCAGCAGCCTGAGTATGTGACAGCAGTGTCTATTTTCCTGTAGCAACTTGAAGGAGGTCTATATCCAAGCTAAACATCATTTTGGAGCCCCACCTTCTAAAGAATCTAAGACATCTGTGCTGAGCTGAGCATACTGAACAAATTAGAATGTGGAAAATACTAATAAAAAGAAAACAAGATCATAACAGCTTTAGTTAGAAAATACCTAAAATATATGCTTTGGAAAAGTCACTCTATTATAAAAAAAACTCTATTTCCAAAATTTTTGAAAGTTAGTTTGCTGGTTTTGTTATTGTGTTTTATGCCCACTCATGATGGAATTGTTCTTGCAAACTGCCTTTGGAACATGAGATGTTTTACTTCATTAGTGCCATTCCTCGTGGGGAGTTCCATGAGCTTATTGACACTATCTGGAATATCTGTATTTTAAGCCCAAAGTTGGTTCCCAAACCCGTTTTGTAAACACTCTTTTTCCAAAAGTTTAGCTAGAATAAAATCTGCATCTAACTACACCAATTAAATATTAAATGGAACAGTGTCTTTTAGATGTTCTTTTTTATTCAAAATAAAAGCAAACCTGCTGTTTCCAAATGGTGGGATATGGAACAAAGCTATCCGTCTTACTAATAATTACCAGTCTTATCAAACTTTTTTTTTCTTCCCTCTTAAGAATTTTGCTGCTGCTGTTTGCTACCAGTAAAGTTGTGACAGTATATGGCTGCCCAAAATTAAACAATTTACTGTAGTAAAACTTTTTTTTTTTTTTTTTCAGGCTGCGGAATGAGTATCAAGCTGCTCTTTTTATGGTTGGTGGGACATGGGCACAGACTTCCGCAAGCAGTATTTCTACAATGTAGTACAGTGTAGGATATATAATGTGGTGGGACAAAGAGGGAAGGAGCTAGATCTACAAACAAACAAAAAAGGTAGAGCTTAAGAAAAAAGAACGTGTTGATTTTCAAAAACTAACCAAATTCTTTCTCCTTTTTCCTTCCCAAACTATGTCCATTGTTGTCCTGGGGATGATGGTGCCACTGGGAACAGCAGCAGCAGTTGCAGGCTCAACATCTCTCCCATGGCCATGGACCTCCAGTGCCTCTAACACCGCATCCATCAGGTCTTCAGCCTCCTGGAATCCCTCCGCTTGGAAGCAGTGCTGGTCTTCTTGCCCTTTCTAGTGCTTTGGGTGGGCAGTCTCACTTGGCAATAAAAGATGACAAGAAGCATCACGATGCAGAACACCACAGAGGTGAGAGGCATGGCAGGCCTGATTAGGACATTGTCAGATTTGCGCATTGCTGCAAATTGTGCACATCTATAAGAAATCGAGTTATATAGAATGAGAACAAACTGTTGGCAAACATTAAAATGTCTGCATATATACCACTGAAACAAAATTCAGCTTGGAAGTTTTCAGTATTTGAAATTGGGGATTGCTAAGTGTCTTATGCTCTATAGTTTGCAGGGCATTTTGACATCCTGGTAAATACTTAGTGGCCTGCACCATATTGTGGAAAAATGTTGAACTGGGTGACTTTTTCAGAGAAAGTAATGTTGTTAAAAGGGTGGGTGGGAAGGTAGCGGGAATGAAAAGTTAAATTTTTGAAGTGAATGTGTTCAGACAAAAAGTTTAGATAACTGCATCTGTTACTTTAGTTTCATAGGCTTAAATTCTAGTAGATAATTAAATATTGGGCAAAATTGCACTTGACTAATTTTTGAAAAGAAAATAATTTATTCTGTCATGAAATAAACGTAGGCTTTGTGTATGGTTAAACTGTAAATCATGTTTACAAAATACTGTAATTTTCAGGAAATCACTGTATTAGGAATGTGCAATGACTTATATAAATAAAAGCCATTTTAAAACTGTTCGCGGCTTGTGTTCTAATTTTTTCCCCCCTTTTTTATTTCTGTTCTTGCCTCTGTGTCTGAACGGGCATGTCTGTGCATTTCTTGGTTACTACGGGAGCAGAGAGAGAGCCAGGCACAGTAAGTACCAATACTCCTGCTAATATTTCTACTTCTACATTTTGTTATAAGCATAATTTGCTCTGTTTGTCCTTCTGTTTTGTTTTTGTTTAGTTACATTTTTGTGATAATAAGCATATGCGTTTTCTCTTAAGATATTTCTTAGCTCATGTAGAATATTAACATTTTCTGGGTGGAGAATTGTATGAATGTGATAGATTTGTTTGAGCAGATTGGTTTCGGGTTTGCTTGAATTTTAATTAGACTTCGTTGCTTTTAAAAGAGACTACAAATCTAACAGAACTTTGTGACCCCAATGCAAAGTTTGTATAATTTGTAGTTGGAGATGTTTCCGTTAGGATTTTCACATGTTAAAGTTGCAGAGAAATGTTGGTGAGAAATTTTAAATTTGTGTGTTATGGCTGTGAATAGATTTTTTTAAAGTTGTGGAGAAATGTTGGTGAGAGATTTTAAATTTGTGTGTTATGGCTGTGAATAGATTTTTTTAAAGTTGTGGAGAAATGTTGGTGAGAGATTTTAAATTTGTGTGTTATGGCTGTGAATAGATTTTTGTTGCCAGAATCTGTTTAATTCATACAAATGTCTTTGCTGTTTAATTTGTACACTTGTTGTAACTATTCTAGAAATACTTTAGATAGAAGTTGTAATACAATTGGCCTGAGAGCATTTTTTTCCAGAAATCAGCCAAAGAACTAATTTGTTACGTTTGTATGTATATATACTCTGTTGTGTTTTGAGTACTATTATCATTTTAACCTGCTGGCCATATGCAAAAATTTATTCTGCTTGTTGATGCAATATGTCAGTTTGATCTCTCATGTAGTTCTTATCCTCAATTAGAAAAGAGAAGAAATACGAGCAGATATTAATTGATAAGTTTACAAGCTTTAATGCTTGTAAGTGTTGGCTATTTTGGTAGTAGACTTGAGAATTACCTGTTTGGAATCTTTCTGAATATCTTTTTGAGGCAGTCTTTGTTTCCAGATTGCAAAGCAAGAAGCATTTATTTCAGCTTGCTTAATGTAGGAGTATTATTAATTGTCAGTATACTTGTGGAAGCAATTTAAAGTTGTGTTTCTGTGAAGCCTCAGAGTTACAAGTACATTTGTCCTGGAGTAGTGTTGATCAAAGGCACAATTCTCACCTACTTATTTTTTCAGGAGCTGAGAAAGGCTTGCATTGTATGTGTATGATGATTTTCGTATCTGGATTGGTTATCCCACACTTGGACTACTTATATTTAACTAGAAAATTTCATCAAATGTATGTTTTGGCTTCTTTTAAAAAGAGAACTGTTTTTGGTCTTTTTCAAGGCTCTTCAGGTAACTAAACAGTCAAGAGTCTTTATATATATATTTCTAAATACTGCAGTGAAACTTCGATATTCATAACTGAATATAAAGTGGAATATAAAGATGCTTAAGGGATTTCATTATTGCTTTGGAATGCATGATGAGTGTCCATTTTGCCTACTTTTGCTGTATTTAAATGTCAAAGACTAGGTTTTTCTTTATTTCATCTTCACCTTTCATTTTACTTGCTGAAACCGAAAATATTCATAAATGCACGCTTATGAAATATTTGCATGATATTTCAGTTAGCAGTAGTATGTTCTACACATTAAATGCTAAAATTGTGTGGTCAAAATGAAAGCATAGAAGTATGGTTAATGGCAGGTGGTTTTTGGCAGGTGTAACTAACCATCCAAAATTTAGCCATGTTATTGTGGGAATGCCATCATTCCTACTATTGTGACATAATTTGACTATAGCTAATAAAGTTCAGCAAAGCAAGGGAGTTTTGCAAGTGAACTTTAATAAAGTTTTAGGAGACATCAGTGCTTTCTTTCTATGCTTTACACAGAGCATGGTAGCAACATCTGTCAGACTCATCTCAGGTATTCATTTATCACTCCTCCTCCCACCCTTCTAGTGTCCTGCCTGGACAGCATAGAAATGCAAATGTTGTCAAGTGCTCTATTGTATTAGTAAAAATTTGTAGACAGTGAATTGTAACCTTTTTGTGTGTTTGGGATTTGTGTTTAGGGTTGCTGTTCCTCCTCCTGAAAAACACTGAGCTTGTGTTTTTAAAGCCTTAGGAAGTACTCATAAAATTTGAAAGAGGTCTGTTTCTGCTTGGATTGTTTTGTGTAAATGCTGCTTTTGTTTTGCAAAGCAGATGCTCTTTCCTTGGCAGCAGAAAAATATTCTGAGTCTTTAGGTCTCCATCCCATTCTTTCCTTACAATCTTGGGGGCCGGTGGCATGGACAATTGAAATCATTTTTTTGTTGGTATCATGTAAAAGCCATTTTTATAAGTCTTATATTTTAACTCTTTTAAATGGCTGCAAGGAAGATGCAAAAAGTTGGAAAAAAGTATAATTTTATAGACTTATAGACTTGTATGCAAGCAATGAGAGGAATTAAGCATGCTATGTTGCAGTTTACCTTGTAACTAATATAAAGCAGCATGAGTTGAGGACTGGTGACAAAAGTTAAAGAACAAGGTGAGGGGATTGACGTGGTCCAGTTTAAGTGTTTATGGATAATTTCTGACCCCCATTTTGACAAACATTATCTGGGAAGTACTGAATTCAGAATAAGTCTTACTTGTTTCCTATTGACATCTTTGAAGTATTGAATCAAGATGGAAGATGACTGAAATCCATTTAAGCTTCTAGATTTTTCATATGCATAAAATAAAGATACTAGTCTAAAAATAACTAAAGTTACATAGTTAACTAACATAAGTTACATAATTACAAAGTTAAATAACTTACAGGAGATGACTAAAAAGGAGGAGAAGTTAATTTTACATCACTAGTCATTTAAAACAAAAGCAATTCACTTTATAGGTGAATTGTTTTACTGTCATGTGTGGAGTTTCATTTTACAAAAAGCATATTCAGCAGAGAAGACTATTGATTCTGGAATCGAATAATCTTCCCCCCGAGTACAAACTTTTTATGGCTTCCTTCTACTTATACACTCTTTATATCATGGAGAGTTCTGATTCCCAGCAGGACAGCTGGGATCTGCTGTTTTGGTTGTTCATGGTAGATAGGATTCTGCTTTTTCTACTCAGCAAAGGCTTACATTTATTTCTGTGTACATATGGATATTGGTAGATAGTACAGTAGTAGCTCAGCTCCCATGTGGTAATTGAGTGACTGTAATAACCCACTTGATGATGCAGACAAGTGCAAGTTGAGTCAGCTGTTGTACCTGGCTGTAGTGACTGGTGGTTGCAGTTGGTATAGATGTACAAGAAGTCAGTGAGTGACAAAGGACAGAGCAACTGTAAGGCTATGTGTTTGAGGTAAGTAGGGCTAAGGGGAATCCAGCATTAGAGAAGTCTTAATTGGGATCAGGTGGAGTTTATCAGAGATGTGATGTAAATTCTGTTATTTATGCTGTAGTGGTCAGCATAAAGTTAGTTGTAAGTGCTGTACATGCTAGTGAGTTATCTGTGCTGTATTGTAATTGGTACTAAATGGGGTGTTGTGGCTTCCCAGCATCTAGTTCTGACACGCAAATTTGTGGTTTGGAAATAGTTCTTCAGGGAAATCAGCACGGCAACCAAAGAAGTGCATTTAAATAATGCACATTAGAGAACCTGCTTTTCCTCTGTGCATCCATGACAAAATTTTCCTTTCCCATTTGCTGTTAGTGGTTTCAGTGTTTGAATTGTGTTGTCAGCAAAGTCACTTTTTGCTCCTGATTTACCTGTGGTATATATAGCTTGTTTGCAGTCCGGTAACACTGACAGGAATCAAGTACACTAAGCTTTTTTCTTCCTTAAAGACTTACCTGAAGGTGGGGATTCATGTGAATAACTTTTAAATCATTGGAGGAAGAATAAAACATATACTTAAAATGGATTCTAATTGTTTGTTGTGATCTGAGTGTTCTACAGACATTCGTAATCCCTAATAAATTAGGTGCTGAATATAAGAGCAAGGATTATCTTCAATTGTAAGTCTAGTCAGTGGAAAACAACACAAAACAAGAAGAAAAAAAAACAGTTATGAAGTTTCTCTTGAGGAAATGGACTTTATGTATATATGTACATTGTTGTGCATCTTTCAGACAAATCGGTATCAGAGATGCCGAGTCCAACTGAAAGTATTGGATATACTAGAAGCACTGCTTACAAGAATGTATAGCTTCGTAGTGTTGTATAGAATCTTAAACAGTTGATTATTTCAATAACAATAGTAATTTCCAGGAGTAAGTTATTTTTAATCAAAACTGTAGTTTGTCTGATCTTGGTCATAGCTTTTAAAGCTTCCTTTAAACAAGCAAAAGTCTTTAAACAAAACAAAACAAATGCCTGTTTAATTATCTAGTTTAATGATCTATTTTGCCCAAATAACAATGTTTATGGAGCAGATACAGAACAATACAGCTATTGTGAAGTAAATTGTTGAAAAACAGCTTCTAGCATGTATACTGTGATTCCAAAGAACAGTGCCGTATGTAGATCTGATAAGTTAGAGAAAAAGCGTTATTCCAGCGTAAATATGTCCACAAGGGGAAATGTTGCAGAATAGACTTGTCAGCAATTTTTGTTGGGCTTATGATATTTATATAACAGGTTAACCCTCAAGCTTTTAAGGAAAAAATCAAACCTGAGAGTCTTTACTTGGCCTTTGGAAGATAGTAGAATATGTAGAAAGTGTTCGGCGTGCTGCAGCTGCTGGGTGTTGTTGGTCAGTCAGTCCTTAGAACATCCCAAAGGGTATTTCATATTCTTGCTTTTTCTAAATGTAACTGCTGATTTTAGATCTAATAAATCAGTATTGCAGGAACCGATAGTGTGTGAATGCTTACCTGTTGCATTTTTATATAAATAAGATCTGAGTTCTGTGTGCTTAGCTATCTTCCTCAATATTTCAGTTGTAGCTAACAAATATCCAGGATGCTGTTGGCATTGTCTAGGTAGACATGTTTACTCTTATCTAAGGTATTTGCATGAAAGGAACATAACTTTAACAAACAAACAAACAGCAAAACAGTTCTTATTAACTACATGTACTTTATGCCAAAGTTTTCAAGCTGCTCCCTATAGCTTTTATGTAATGACTTTAAAAGTATAGTTACTAACTTCTGCTCAGATGCTGCTCCTTTGCCACCATTTCGTTATTGTCATTCAATTATTTGAATTTGTTTTATTCTAAATACTTTAGCAGTGAAATAGTCTCCATATGATTTTTGTTAAAGGAAGCTTTTTTTATCACTTTCTCTTTATAAAAGGCATTTGCAATATTCATGTCTGTGGTCAAGTTTAATTTGACAGCATGCTTTTTTACCAGGTTCTACAGGACAGGATTTTAATACTAAGTACTGAGATTTTTTCTTTGAGATTGGTGTAAGCATCCAGGACACTGAATCCCTGGGTTTGTACATTTGGGAGGAGATGAGGGGTTAAATTCAGATTGTATTTATTGATGCAATTAGCTCAGTGATCCAACAAGCCCACCCTTTAGCTACAAAACATCACAGTAAAGACATTATTTTGAGTTTTTTTATACTGAATTTCATTAGATCCTCCTGCATGCGTTTTTTAAGCCTCTTGGCATTTGTGTAGCTTGAATAGTCATGAATAAAAGAACTTAAGAGTTAGCTTTAAAGTGCAGCTTCTGAAATAGGAGAAAGCAGATTCAGATAGCTTTATATACCCCATTTTGTTTTCCTTTTCCTTGGGACTGAACACTAATACTTGAATGCTTCAAAACTACCATGGTGGTGTTTTCAGGTTTTAAAGGGGGGAACTATTCAGTGCTTAGCTCCCAGGCTATTTATATATGTTCATCATATGTCAAAAGTAAATACCTCTCTGGCTCTTGGGTAGGCACAGATGTTTCCTTTGTGCCTTACATGTGTATGATAGTGTGTATGTTGGTATTAGGCTTTCTTCTTGTGAGATACATGTGTGTACATGTAAATATATATTTACTTGGTATTTATATGAACATATATTTATTTATGTAAGCTTGTGCTTGGCTTTTAGAAACCAGGTTTATCAGGTCTTTGTAAAAGGATTCTTTTTCTCCTCAACTCTTTCAGCATTGTTCACAGCATTAACACATCACTGAACAAATTGCCCTCTTGCATATGCTAATCCTGCACTTAAAAGAACTCATTGTAACATGTTTTAATGCTTTAGCTGGAATAGAGGTGGGAATGCAGGCATGTCAAATTGTCATGTGACTGAAAAATATCTAAAATGCCTTTCTTTTTGGGTCAATAGTTTGTACTTTGCATATCTGAATGAAGGTAACCCATGTTTTTTGGGGAAAAGATTAGTCTTTGCTCTTGTCTTTTGTGTGTCCTATTGGCCTCTGTTTTTCCGACCAAATCTGATTAAATATTTTAACCTCAGTTTCGCACTAGTGGTGAGGGCTATGTTAGCAGTAAAGATACTTGATCTTTGTTTGCAGCAAATTTGCTGAAGCCATCCAATTGAGTTTACCACAGCTAACAAATGAGTCTGGGATAATCTTGCTTAGTATTTACTTCTTATTTAAGAGCTAAAGGTCTTACTGCTATCTTTCCCTCCATTACTGGAGGTATAGACATAGTAAAGCCGTGTTTGTTTATGGTGTCTCTGTAATACCAAAAAAAAAAAAATCATTCTTATCTGCTCATGAATAGACATCAAGTCTATTTCTCTTAAGCAATGCATTCTGTTGAATTAAGTAGTTAAATAACTGGTGACTGACAAGTGAAATCAACTTTTGGTAAGTTGAGCAACGAAAAGCCAAGCTTGCCCTTTAGAATGCATGGAGCTATATACATTTGCCTGGAGTACTTTGATTTATTTTAAATAGAATGAAAGGCTATGTAGGTATCACATTTCTAAAGCATTTATTGCACCCAATCTATGGTTTTAGACATATACAAAGGAATCTTGAAAGTTTTTTTTTTTTTTTTTTGATTGACCTTGAGATATTTTTGTCTTTACAGAGTAATTCTCTGTTGGTCCCGGACAGCCTGCGGAACACAGATAAACGCAGAAATGGGCCTGAATATGCCAATGACATCAAAAAGAGAAAGGTGGATGATAAGGATTCCAGCCACTATGTAAGCAAATCTATGTCAAAGAAATGATTAATTTGTTTGTGGATAAAGAGTGTGTATGAAGAGTGATAGAGCTGTGAATAAAAAGGCAATAGTATATGAATATATGTGCCAGAGAAACCATTATTCATTCTGTGGAAACAGCAGTGACTCAATAGTTCAGGCTCTTCAGGCCAAGTTATGCTCAATAGAGAGCCAGAAGAACCCAGGAGTACCTGGTTTTGATTCGTGAGTGTTCTAAGGATCCATTTCAAAGTTTCAGCAAAAGATCCTTTCTGGGTTGCTGTAAAGCTGCTACAGTGCTGCTGGTTTTGTTGGAAGTGGGAGTTTCCCATTGATTGGGGCGGGGAGAAGAGGGAGAAACAAGTAGATTTCTGATATTAACTATTACCATGTTGATTAATAATTATTATTTCAAATTCCATATGTTTTGAGGGCTGTACCAACTTCTTTAAGTTTTTTTTTTCTGTTGATGTGTCAAATTCAGTAGAAATCAAGCTAAAGGAAAAAATTCAGTTTTGAGTTCTGCGTTTTGATGAATACTGCTTATTTCTCAGTTTCAAAGGGACACTTCACTAGTACAGTGGTCCACGTGAACTTTGCAGGTGGATTTCAACAGACCTTAGCATAAGACTAATATAAATTTTAAAAGTACTGAGAAGTAGAACTTATATTTTAAAAATGAAGTTATTCTTTGACATAGTGTGATTTGACATGCCTGCTGTAGATAACTTTAATCACTAATTACTTGCTGGAAACTGAAACCCCTGAGAAAATGAGATGCTACTATATTTCATCAATATCTGGAAGAGAATTTTTCTTCCATTTGAACCCACAATATCCATGGGGGAGAAGGCCTGCTGTCAATAGCACTTGAGCAGTACAGCCACTGACAACGGATTGGGTTGCTGTCTCCTTTATGCACATTGTAGTGCTGTATTACTGTTGCAGTTTTGAGTCTTCTTTCCACCATTTCCCAAGAACCTGGTTTTGATTTCAGAAGCTTCTGGCAAACTCTTCCCTATGCTACCTCTTCAGCTTTGAGGCCTTGAAATTCTAAAGTTTCTAAGGTTGTTTTTCATCTTAAATAGTTAAAGGTTAAGCAGGCCCAGACTATATAAAAACTTTAATCTTGCTTTTTTTTTTTTTCATTTCTATTGGAAATGAAGGGAAAGGATATTGCGATGTAGAAATAATTTTTGTTGTAATTTTTTTAACCCACGTTTTACATATGTAGTCAAATTTTAATGTGCTTTGGATAGTTGCACAACACTTAAAAATTAGCTGAGTGCATTTAATAATTACATGGTAATTATTTTTGGACTCATCAAGGCAATTTTTCTGGTGAATGAATGAATGCCCCCCAAACACACCCCTAATGGGCTAAGGAGGGTCTCCCACATGCTCAGTTATACCTGTTCTCGACATGTTTCCTTCATACTCTTCAGGTGGTGGCAAATACCTGAACTGGAGTTTTCCTGTTCCTTCTTCTGTTGCACCCTTTGGATGAGCAGTTTCCCGAGTGACCAAACAGAGCTACCATTCTGCTTCTGCCTCCAGTGGCACTCTTTAGGCCCTCTTGTGCTTGCAGTACTTCTTAAAAACACTAGTGCTAAAACAAAAGGGAAGAGGTAAAACCACTTTCACTTGTGGTTTAGCAGTTGTTTCCTGGAATTGAAAGGAAAGAACGGATGCTTTTCTTTCCTGCTTTCCTGCTTTAACTTTCCAGAGTTAAGTGTGATAGTCCAGAAACTTAGAAAGCGTTGCAGATTTAATTCAAGACAATTTGAGCACTCTCTTGTGTGTCTGACTTTTTTTTCTAGAAACTTTTTAACTAAAAATACGGTTCTTGGAAATGTCTAATCTTCCCGTGGGAAAGCTTAAGTTTAGTCTTGATCTTTCTGTCAAGTGTCTCCTCTAGTTGAATCACTATGGTGGTTGAAATCACTGCACCACAGTGGATATCATGTGGATATGTCCAGTGGAGATTCCAGCACACTTTTGAGACAGGGTACAGAAAGGCGCTTGAATAGCAGCTTCCAGGAGGCACTAGGGCAGCCCACATAAAGAGTGTTTAGAGTGAAATTGAGTCAAAATTCAGTATGACGAGCCATAGTAAAACATTTCAATTTGAGAATGTCAAACTGTTTTGGTTTTGCTAGGCAGTAATGCTGAAGTCTGTTGTCTTTTTTGTTCTTTTCCCCAAAACTTCCTGTTTTCAAAGCTTTACTTTTCGGAGACGGAGAAAAATTGTCCTATCACTTTGGAGGAGCGGATTCAAAAACAAAATGTCAAATTGTTGGAATTTTCTGAGACAAGTGTGGATTTTGGTTACATGCATTAGGCTGTAGTTCTCCTACGATTAAATAGCAAATGAATAGAGTTAGTTTCTTTTTTAATAGTGGTGGTAATGCTTATTATAATGATGATGAGGAGGATTTTCAGACCATCTCTGACTGAGGGCAAGACTGGCACTAAACTAGTCCTGCCTCATTTAGGTTTTATTGTTAAAGCTAGGGAGTTGTTGTATTCCTCTTTTATATCTTGTTTTCCCTAATGCTAATAAGTAAAGAAAGACTCTTTCTTCTTAAACAAAAGGCAAAGTGTCAGAGTAGATGCTTAGGGTTTTTTTTTTTTTTTTTCCTCTAGGCTCTTAAGGTATGCAATGAACTGAACAATTTATTTATTAATTTATTTTTAATAGGACAGTGATGGGGACAAGAGTGACGATAACTTGGTTGTAGATGTATCCAATGAGGTAACTTTTTTCATTTTTTAGTCTTAATGTTTCATTTCAAGTGCATTCAGTTAAATGAAAGAAACACTTTGTGTGGATATAATAAAATATTTACAACTTTCTTGTTAATACCACAGTTGCCTCCTTCCTTTATTTGGTTGCCCTCTCTGCTTTTTCTGGTGCTGCTTTATCCATATCTGTTCTCTTAGCAGTTATGTTCTAACACACAGTTGTTCTATAGCGGAGGAAGTTTTGGCGAAATGCAGGTGGAGGGATGAGGTTTTTAAAATGCTGTCTTTAAATGAAAAGCAAAGATAATATTTGATGACCATATTAGCATTAGTAGTATTAATAACACTTCTAGTGGCTTAAAAATTGCAAATACTTTAATTTCTTGCTTTAAAGACAAGTTTGGCTACAAACGTTTATCTATTTAGAGTGAAGTCAGCTCAACTCTCCCAAATTTTTATTTGCGTTTTTTTTCCCCAAATCAGAGGCACTTAGAAAAGTTTTTTTTTTTTTTCTCTCTCTTTCTAGAATAGAAGTTTGGCAGTGACATCAGGGTGAAAGGATTCACCTGCCCCTTTATCTTTTATCTCAAGACAGCTGAAAAATTTAAAAAGCCTGAGCATGCCAGAACAGATTCTTATGCTGTTTAAAAAAAAGACATGTCCAGAGGCTGACAGAGAGGAAGTGCATCCAGAAGTTCCAAATGCCCAAATGATTTCAGACAAGTAGAAAAATGGATATCCAACTAGAAATTCAGGAATGATCTCGAAAGTCCCGGTTATTATGGTACTGCTCCATAATCAACTGATAGATTTGCTCCTCTCTTGTAGGGCCTTCCCTGCGTCGCTGCTAATATTCTCATGAGCAGAAAGAGCATAGAGAACCAGCAGAGCTTTGATGGCTTTGTAGCTTTCTTGGTAGGCTATTTCGGGATAAAGTAAAAGCAAAGAGCGTCTCAGGAAGATTATAAGATAATTACCTGAGAGTTTTTTTTTTTTTTTCCTGAAGATGCAAGCAGTGATGCAATTCCAAGTGGTATTTAGTAAGAAGTAGCAGATAGATCTTATGGCCTATAAAGCACATGCCTATACCACTTTCTCTGAAGGTAGAGATGATAAAATTGTGTATCACCTAAAGAAGATTTTCACTGAAAATTTTATTGTTCACTAGCAGTACATGGAGGACATACAGAAGCAGTGTGAACTTACTACTATTACTCTTGTTCTGTCTCGCTCTTCTTGTCATACATGCTTTGTTTAGATTGTACTTATGTTTAACTAGATAGCAAGCCCTATGCATGTAAACAATTTACAGTTACATGTAATGTAAAATAAATCCAGATTGCTCACTGGACAAATTTATATGTCTATACTAAACTAACAAAAGGTTTTTAGTCATAGATACAACAAAAAGTCTCTTCATTTGAACTTACTCTCTGAATTCTTCTACATTCTCCTCCCTCCTTCCCCTAGTTCCTTAGTGCTCTTTGTGTACCAAGCTATAACATGCTTTTATGCCATTATTCCTTTCCTGCTGTTTAGGATCCATCCTCTCCACGGGCAAGTCCTGCTCATTCGCCACGCGAAAATGGTATAGATAAAAACCGCCTCATGAAGAAGGATGCCTCTAGCAGTCCAGCATCTACAGCCTCTTCAGGAAGTTCCACTTCTTTGAAATCCAAAGAAATGAGTTTGGTGAGTATTGAGAAATGTTATTTTTGCAAGTCTAATTCTTCCTTGTCCTGAAATATTTTTGGCAGAAAGCCTATGATTTTAAGTTCTGGAAGCTGAAATTGATTATTGTTCCCAGTCTTTACAGTATGTTCAATCTTCCACCTCAGCAATAACTTTAGCTTCATGCTGATTTCTTATGTTTCTTACATTTATATCAAACAAACTTTAAAGTTATTACATAACACACAACATTGCTTAAGTATTGCTTTCTTTTAGAGCAATAGTGTATGCTCTAATTCCTATGTAGATCTGCACAAAGCCACTAAGAAGTTTTTCAGACTACTCTTACATTCTGCTAAATAAACTGTTAATAAACTCTTAAAAACTGTCTTTATATTTTTTTCCACTGAGGTGTCATTAATAATTTGATTAGATTCTGTGTAATCCTTCAAATTTCTTTTTTTTTTTTTTTTAATATCATCAGTTGTGATTCTTCTTTGGTTTTATAGTACATTTTTTTGTGTCCAATAATTAAGACAATAATTTTTGCAGAATGAAGTAAATTGATGCTTCATACAGTATTGCCCTGAAGAAAAAATAGTTAATGCATTTTTTATTGCCAGTGGCAGAAGGAAAAATAACTTTCTACATCTCTTTGCTTATTTTAATTTTGGCAGTAATTGAAAAGGTCAGCATTTCTCTCTCGCAAGTTAATGCTGTCAACATTGCGTGGATTTATGAAAATTGGCTGAGGGAGTAGGTAGTAGGTGCCCAGCATCCCAGCTGCTGTTGTGATAAATTGTGTAATATGGCCTGGATTAAAAATAATACTCATTTAATTTGTTTAATGATACCAGCATGAAAAAGCCAGCACGCCTGTTCTGAAATCCAGCACACCAACTCCTAGAAGTGATGTGCCAACCCCGGGCACTAGTGCAACTCCAGGACTTCGTCCAGGCCTCGGCAAGCCTCCAGCAATGGACCCTCTGGTCAACCAAGCTGGTAATGGCTTACCTCTTGTGTTTATGGCTCCAGCATTTATCTTTTTTTACATATGGAGTCCTATGTGGATGTTAAGTAAATGTGTTGCTTTATTCTTGATATTAAGAGAAGCCTTGATGAGAAGCAGCTGTTTGGATTATCAAGAGTTCAAATATCTTCCAGGCTTATGTTCTTCTTTTGTTTACTTTGTCTCTGTCTTTTTTACAAATAATCCGGAGACTGCATGCAATACTGAGGAAGACTTCTCAGAATTTTCTGGTGCTTATTCTGAATGCAATCTACTACAGTATTTGTCTGGGACTACTAATATTTGCTGCAGTGTAAATCTTGATAAATGCAGAATGAAGTTTACTTTTGCTGTTCAGGCTGGTACGGCACAGTTGCTTCAGACATGAGCTGTGTAAACCATGTCTGTCAGCTTTACTGCTTAATTTGGCAAAGGAGCGATTAATGTAAACAAGGAAATATTACAGAGATGGAAATAGACAATGATAGTAGAGATTGTTAGAGGTAATCAGCAAGTTCAGACTTCAGTAGGTCTTATTTACACTGAGTAATAAGAGGTGGTTGTGGTGAAATAGGCAGTGTTTCTTGGCAGTGGGTGTAGAGGAAGGGAGGGGGAGGTCAGGTACTGTAGAGAAAAAGACCACTTTCCTCTCTGTGTGCAGGGAAATTAAAATACAATCACTTAATTCTTCTGCAGCTGCAGGTTTGCGGACACCTTTGGCAGTTCCCGGACCCTACCCTGCTCCGTTTGGAATGGTACCTCATGCTGGCATGAATGGAGAGCTAACCAGTCCAGGGGCAGCCTATGCCAGCCTGCACAATATGTCCCCCCAGATGAGTGCTGCTGCAGCTGCAGCTGCTGTGGTTGCTTATGGAAGATCTCCTATGGTAGGCCATACATTGCTTGCAATCTCAGTCCTGTGGGTTGTGGTTCAGTGAAAAGAGCTGTATGCGTCATTTAACATTGTCAGATTCCCAAGTTATAACAACACCGAAGGCTTCACTGCCTCACTGTGCCTTTTACTTTGCTGCATGCCTGGAGAAACAAACTTGTACCTTGAAGACAGAAAAACTCAGTGTACTGTTGTGTGCCTCCTTTTTTCCTTAACCTTCATCAGTGCCTTTGAATCATTAGTAAATGCCAAACTGTTTGTTTATGCTTTAAATGAAAAGGTAGTGTTGGAAGCTACAAAGCACTTCATTGGTGCTCAGGACATCTCTTTTACTGAATCATATTTGTGTGCTGTACAGATGTCCTCAATTAATCTTGAAGCACATAGAAGTCTTTTTATCTACTTCTGCATTTTTTGTTGTTTTTTTTTTTTCTTTTAATTGAAATCAGTCTGAGAAGTTAGTCTGTACATGTCTTGAAGTTCTGTGATAAGGTGTGTTAAGAATAGTCCTGTTGCTATTGTGGGTGTAATAAATACCATGGAACATGGTATCATTGCTGCTATTGAGCAGAATAGCCTTAGGGCCTTATTCTGAAAATATATGACCTTGAAGGCAGATTTATGTATGCACAGACTTACTTGGAAATTTGCAAGAAACTGTCATCTTCTCATTATTTCAGGGTAAAGCTGCTTTTTTTCAACCTGGAAAACATACTTTTTTATTTGAAAAAGTGGACATTCTAAATTCTTCTTGTAAAGCCAGAAGAAATGTAATTCAAGTATACTCTATCAGAAGTAAAAAAAAATAAGTATATTTAGTCCAGAATCCCTGTTTCGATTATTTGACGTACACATTTATTCAGGATACAAGTTTAATGGAACTGTGGCATGCGAAGAGAGTCTATATAGTATGTTTAAGCTGTAGATGCATTGGTGTGTATCTGCAGTGTAGCTCAGTGAGAGATCTGTTAGCTGATGTGCCCGCACAGTGCGGTGCCATATGAAAACAGAGATTCTGGCTGGGGCTTGAAGCTGCTTTTGAGTGCTGTGCTGTGTCTACATGCACAGGCGCTGGTTGTTGCAAGCTAAAGAGCATTGATTTGGCCACATGCCAGCACTACATGACCTCCAGAGGGAGGGCTAAACTCATTGTTAGCTCAAAGATCTTTGTATCATGCTTTCTTTATGGTGTGCTTTATGTACTTGGTACAGGTCACTGTTTTTCTACTTGGATATGAATACTTTTATCAGAAGTAATCTTTTGTTTTTAATTGTCCCACTGCTCCCTTTTCCCTTTAATTCTGCCATTAATTATTTTTTTTTGTTTAAATGTATAGCATTTGGGGTGTATGGAAAAAGAAATTTTTAATTGAGAAATTGCAAGTGTGAGATTAATTGATTTTTCATTGTCAGGTTGGGTTTGATCCACCTCCTCACATGAGAGTACCTGGAATCCCTCCAAATCTAGCAGGGATTCCTGGGGGAAAACCGTAAGTAACACTTTGGTTAATGTCTGCCACATTTAGAGAGTATAAAGTTATCTTGTGTCAGTGAACAAGAATTCCAAAGGGAGTAGTGTCTTAGTCATTCCCAAGAGATTGCCTTAGACTTCTGATAAGGAATGTAGCATGTAAATTCTCAAGTGATAGCTATTGTCTTCTGAAACAGGTGTGTTTGCTCATTTCTAGAGAAAAGATGTTGATGGTGTATGTACACCTTTGAGAGTGGGTATTCTTTTAAACTTCTTCCTTTCTAGAAGAGGCTAAGGGAATTGTAAGCTAGTAGACAGTGGAAAAAAAGAGTAAGAAGAGATCGAAACTAAAATTCATACTATAGTGAGCATAAACGTGCAATGCAAATTCACAGACTCCTTGTCTGGCAGCTGTTTTAACAGGCGTGACAGTCTGAAACTGCTGATCACAGTGGTATCTGAAGCAGTTAGTTTGGCAGCTGATGCACACCCTACATAACAGAATAAGCACTTAAAAACATTGTGGAATTATGCATCTGGAAAGGAAAAGGATAAGGAAACAGTTGTGCAGTGGGTGGTGCATAGATGTAAGATGACTTTTACAGCAGTTTCTTTTTACTGAAAATCTTTAACTGTTGCTGAAAGGGTGCTCAAATAAATTTTGTGATACTAAGGCTTACTGATGTTAAAATAAAATACTTGCACGAAAGTAGCATATGTTGAGGTCTTCCATAATTTGGCTATGATAGACTGAGACCAAGTATACCCATACATAGCAAAGTCACAGAGATGCATATATATATATAGGGAGAGAGGTATATATATACATGTGTGTGTATGTATGTATATATGTATATAAACACACAGTCTCTTATGGATAACTGATTACACAAGTCTAAACAGAACATTTCCATAGGATGGGAAAGGCAGAGAGAATTATAGGAGAACATACATCTTTGTCCCTTCGTGCTTGACATCCAGACTTTTCTTTCAACGGGAAGTAGCAGGAATACAGATATTCCTCTGATTTTGACCTCTACTTTATTTTGTGCTCCCAGGTTGGGTTTTCCTGATATATGCTGTCTTTTATACCTAACCTGTGTGAGGCTTTGATTTCACTTTTCCTTTTGCAGTTTGAGAAAAATTCAGAAACTTATTTTTAGGATACTGTGTAAATTTGTAAGAAACACTTATTGTCGTGAAAGTTAAATGCAACACAAATTTCAGCCTATCTGTTTTTTGACCCCATTGATGCCTAGTGATGATGTCAATCATTCCAACATACTGGAAAGTGTACATCAGATTACAGACAGTAGAGCATGTGCTTTTCTCCTACTCTTTTTGCATGGTACTAAGGAGGAAGCAGCAGGCTTCTCACATTGGAAAAGCCATCCTAAATGTGTTCTCACTGTTATCCACCATGATTCTGAGAACAGACTTAGCGCTCTGTTAGCAGTGTGGGAAACCTGTTAAATCTAAATTTACTTAAAAGCTGGTACTATGTTGATGGGGTTACTGAAGTGAAGGGTCTGTGACTTGGTGGTAGGTATCAGATGGTGATATGTGTAAATTTAGTACACCAAGGAACCTGCATTGTCCTGAATACAGGTTCTCTCTATTAAGGGTCAAGCACCTTCTTGATTTGGAATGCTTATTTAAAATATTTCTGGAGATGAAAATATCCCTTGCCTGTAATTTTTTTTTACTTTTAAAGCAGTGTATTCACAAACCTTCAATATTTTTTATTTCATTAGTAATACCAGCAATAAGATATTTTAAAAGCAAAACCTATTTTTGTTCAGTCAGAACTCCTGAGGAAGGAGGAGGAGCTTTAGCTGTTGAGCTATTGAAGGCACAATAGCAGTGAATTCTTATGGTTATATTTTGTATTCTGATATTTCATATCTAATTTTGTCTGTTTTGTTTAAGTAGTCTGTATTCATACTGCTTTTTAGATCATTTACTTTGGTGTTTCCCTACTCTTTACTTGATTTGATATCTTAAGTAATTCATAGTCACGTTACTTGGATTCACTCAGTCTTTTCTTTATGAAACCACTTCCTTGCATGGCTTAGCTATGAGATAAACCTAAAATGCCAGATGCTGATCTCTTACCTTCCTGTTGGCAAATTTGGAAGTGCCTTTATTTTAGTTCTGTTTGACTGCAGTTTCCTGGATGATGTATACTACTTGCAGCATCTTTGAAAGTGTCTCTTACTCACATAAAGAAAGTCTCCTTTATTAGCCATGCAATTTACATCTGTTAAGGTCAGGCACACTAAAGGGGAATTCTTGTTTTACTTCCAAAATATTATTATCCTAAACACCAGTTAATTTGCTACATTGAATTTGTTGTTACTGAGATTTGGAGTTTTGGTTTGAGTCTTGTGGTAGTATAAAGAGAAGTTTTTGGTAGAGGTTGAGCTGCTCCTGGCCCTGAGACCACCCCAAGATTTTCTCAGTTTTTTGGAAGGCTGGCAGTGACAGCATCTTTTCTTAGGCAGTACCTGTTGTGAAAGAACTTGAAGACACCTGCAAGAAAGAAACGGACGTTTTGGGGATTATTTTTTTGGGAAAAAAAAAAGTTTAATCTAGATATCTTCAAAACCTGCCTCAATGCCACCCCTGTGCCACATGCCCTAGGTGTCCCTGCTGGAGCAGGGGGGTTGGACTAGATGATCTGTAGAGGTCCCCTCCAGCCTTAATCATGCTGTGATTCTGTGTGATTCTGTGATTAAACTATTGAATGCTGGCAGTATGTGCCTTCTGATTGCTGCAAGTTGTTATGTTTTTTCACTCAGAATTGCTTCTAAGACCTTAAGGTTCCCCGTTTCCAAAGAAATGGCGTTTCTGATAGCACACAGTTTTCTTTAATCCCTCTATATTCCAAGATCTTTGTAAATGAGTAGATTGTTAGAAAAACGAGTAGTCTGTTGGACCTGTTTTTGCTTATGTATTGCTTCTTATCATGGGAATTTTGTCTGAAAAGCTTGTCTGTCACTTTCTTTGTTTGGAACTTAACTAATGTTAAGTTTCTAAATGTGATTCTGACAACTTTTCTCTCTTGGGACCCTAACCTTGTTAGTTCTTAGTAGTACAGAGGGAGTTGAGCAATCATGCAGCAATTTAAAAAGCTAAACCAGTTCTTGTTTGTACAAATGAGCTAACCTTGGCATTTTTGTAAGGATTTTCCTTGAGGCTATTCAGGATTTTGATATTACTTTGATAGCTTTGTGTACACACAATCTAGTTTTCTGTCTTCAGTTGCTGTTAATGCCTGTTGCTGTTTGATAAATCTCTTCTTGATTATCACTAATTCTTTAACAGTCTTGGTTGGCATGCTTGGGTTCATATTTCGGGTCATGGACAGCTCTCTTTTGAAGATGCTGTGTGGTCTTACCCTTTCCTCTCATCTATTGTTCAGGAGTAGCTTCGGTGGACAGGGACTCTATATATGTCTGCATGAATATGCATAAAGTGTGTTTTAATTAATATCTTATGCTAGAGTAATGTTCTTGTGGATTTCTCTATGATACAAACCACCAGCTAAAATTCCCATTCAGTTCACGTATTCCAGTTCAGTTCAGAGTAACATATTTTTCCCCTTCCCCTATCCCTGGATAGCATGATTGTATGCCGTTTATGAAGTTACATAGATTTGTTAGTCCTGTATAAATACTTTGTTCACTAACTGTTGACATTCTGCTCTATACAGTAAAACTGCATATTCGAATATTCAAGGATATGCAATGTTTGTTGTGATAACTCTAACCAAAAATAAACTGATGTACAAAGAAGACCTGAAAGTAAAATGTAGTCATCAACAGAAGGAACCGTCTGCTTTTATGTTTTACAGTTTGGATATTTCTGTGCTAACATAGGAATTTTGTTTGAATTGAAGGGATGATGTGGAAGCTGGAATTTTTTGTTTGTTTATTTTGATCACATGGTGCTTTAAGAACTGCATATATTGCATCACTATGCAATATATTGCACTCAGGGAAGCTAAAAGGTAGGTAGGTTGGTCAATTTACCGTATTCTTGAGGAATAAATTCATGTGGAAGACTGTTTTGTTTCTCCTTAAAGAGGAGAAAGCTATTCTGAACTTTTCTCAGATGTCTTACTTTTGCCTCAGATGTCATGCGTTTGAATTTGAGAGTTGAAGAATCATATTACCAGATTTAAGCTAGTAAATGGAGTTGCTTTCTAGTCTTACAAAATGTTTCTAGTTTTACAACCTACTACGTTGTTGTAGAAACTTTGCCACTTTTCGGTGCTTCTGTGATACAGAAGAAGAAAAATAAGTTGGGATGCAATAGAGCAAAAGAAGAATGGATCATAAAGCCTGCCTTTATTCGGAGGGGATGTAGAGGAGACAATATACAGAGAATATATTTCTCAGCATCCCCCAAAATAAGAGACATGTAAATTTGTCTTGTACTTATTCTGTTCTGGTCTGAACTTTCTTATCCTTTGTTTGTTCTTAAGGTGCAGTTCTTAGGCATTATTTAAATATTCTCAATATATACAGTTTGTTACAAGTGTTAATATAATCACTGGGTAATATATATTTAGTGCCTTTCACATGAGCTTCAAATGACATTGCATAAGGACTCTCTGTTTGCTGTGTTTGTTAATGGTTTCTACTATGTTAACATAGTCCCTCCCCCAACATGAGGAGGGACTATGTTAATATATTAGAAACCATTTAACCAAAGGTAGAGAATTATGGTCATCTGCTACTGACAGAGTACTGTGGACAAAAAAACATTTTTTGGCATAAACTGTCAGTCCTATAAGATCCTCTTAAAAGGACAAAAATATGATATAGTTTTGTGGTGTTAAGAAATTAAAATGTGCATAGCAGTTTGAGGAGGAGGAAGGCTGTGAGGTCAAGGGGTGACTGATGAGAAATCTTCAAGTTAGGCTCCAGAGTACTCAAGAACATATTAAATTTAACTAAATATTGGCCCCTTTAGATCGGACAACCAAAAAAAAATACATGCATTGGTGTGAAAGTGTTGAGCCTATGAATGTCTTTAGTGCATTAAAAATTGAATCATTTCTCAGTCATACGTATGCACCTTAATATACTTTAGTATGATTCTGGAAATATTGTTCTCTTCAGAAGCTGAGGGCCAGACAGTCTGGTGTGGTGATCTGATGGAGGGGGTAGCCTAGAGTGACAGAGAGTGATGGAGCTACAAATAATTGTTTGCACTGCTGCCGCAAGTACTGCATTCTTCTGAAGATGGAAGCTATCTAAGCAGTGGCAAATAATACAAGATTTTTCAAAGAAAAAGGTGAAAGTGGCACATGTTAACAGGGTTTGTGTTAGCCTACCATGCCACTTACCTTCAAGCAAACAGGAGTAATTATATATAATCACACGTTGAATAGCGCATACCTAACAAGCATATACATGCTTAAAATACATTGGGTTGAATTACTGGTGCTACAGAGCAGAAAAGTTCTCATAATTTTACATATCATGAAGTACTTGAAAAATACTTCATTTTCTTCCTCCCATTCCAGCTAAGAACTGAGAAGCTACTCATGTATACACAGAGAAGTTTTTCAAACTATTTAATATTAACTCTTGAATATATTAAGATTTCTTAAAATATTGTGAATTGAAAGCACCTTTAAGGTATAACCTTTTATAATACGTTATTTAAAAAAAAAGTGCAGGTGAATTATCTATTATGATGGGAAAAATTGCTTAATCCTTGCTTAATTTTTTTTCATCTGCCAGTAATTAAAGACATGGTGAGACTTCAAAGTTGTGTGGTTCTGTATACTGCTATTGCTAGCAAATATTCTGCAGCTGGCTTTGATCTGAAGTCTGGATGGGCTGATGGTTTCCAGCTTCTTGCGTGCAGTGCCTTTGTAGTTGGATTCTGTACCTGGACCAGAGCTATTCAGCCTTGAGCAATCTCATTGCCACTCTTCTTCTGCCTCCTCTCCCATCCTTTGTCTCATCTATTTAATGAATAACTGCTTTGAGACAGTTTTGTTTCTACCCTTCTTCATGAGAATGATACAGATTTCTAGTGTAGCTTTTATCATTAGAGTAATTCTGTATCCTAAAGAAAGGAAAGGATCCCATGGGAAGAAATACATTTGATATGCTGCAAAGATCACGAGGGAGTGAATTTTGTGCTTCCTTTCTTATCTTGCATTTCCTTTTCCTTTTATTTGTCATCCTTTACTCTTACTCATCCTCCATTCTGAATGCTCTCTGAGCATGTTTTCAGTTCACATGTCCCACCATGAAACAGAAATGATGTTCAGGAATTGCGTGTGCAAGCACTCTTCCTTTCTTCTCTGTCGTTAATAGCAGTGACTTTTCATCCTCAGCCTTTTCTCCTTCTCTACTGACAGAACAGTGATACTGCGTGGAGCAACTGTCTCTTTTTTCTTTCATATGAAAAAAGAGTAGAGTAAGCCCTCTCTGCTTTCTTCTAAGTCCTTTTAAGGACTTTAAGGAACATCTTCTGTTCAGATCTGCTTCTGGGTACATTCAGCTGGAAAGCACCCCAGGTGTACATTGTTATGTCTGCTACAGACTGGGGATCCGTGCTCATTCTGTTCTCCCAAAATGTGCAATATCTGTGAATGTGCAATAAAATACTTCGAAAATATTCAGAAAGAGTGAAGTTGAACCATCTCCTGTTGGGTCTAGGGGAGACTGATGCATTGCTAGATTTTGACTTGAGTAACAACAACTTAAGATTGCTAGGGAAGGTGCACTTGGGGAAAAAAATAATTCTGAACAGAAGAATATATTAGAAAATTAAAGTCCAAAGTATTAGAAAATCAAAGTGTAGCTTAGTGGCAAAAGAGTTCACATCTTGCCCGTTTTATTTACTTTTTGCTTTTGAACAATGCTGCAAAAGTAACAGCATTGCTTAAAAATATGAACCAGGTATGCACTAAAAAGTAATAAGCAAATCTTGCTGTTGTAAGAAACAACAGGGTTTTTGGAGTATATTTTCGTTATTTAAAATCCCTAAACTTGAAACCTTCATTAGTTGCTATTTGTGCCATAGTCCTTGAGGAGAGCTCAGTTTATATTGTTATTTTATTTAGTGCTGGCATTCATCTTCTTAACCCTTAGTTTCCATATACTTGTGATCACAGCATGAGTACAGAATAAGTTGTACAGAATAAGTTGTTACACAAGTGCTAAAAATACTTGGGAAACTGAGTCTTTCAGTTTTTCCAAAATCCTTATTCAGGAAACCATAGTTAAGAGAAGATGGTATCAGTCTTCTAATGAAAGGGGTGGGTGTGTGCACACATTCTACCTGTTTATGTTTTCTGTTTGAAGTGCTAGTTCCCAACTCAAAGGAGATACATGTGAGCATAGCTAATGCTGATAATAAAGGCAAGATGCAGAAACAGGTTGAGCGCAAGTTTAATTTTTTCTGTGCACAGGAGTTAGTTCTACTGGTAGCCAATGGATGCAAGTCCCATGGAAGAAGTCCGCAAATGCAGTGGCTGTTTAGGGTTGAGCCTGCACTACTTCATGCTGTAGCTTTGATTTTTATGTGGAAAAAAAGATTGGTAAAGAAAGCAATTGCAAAATACTATGTTGTTGTTATGCATTTTAGCAGCCTAACTGCTTGATATTTCTTTTCTTTTCCTCTCTCTTTTTTTCTTCCCCACAAAAGAGCGTACTCCTTTCACGTTACCGCAGATGGTCAGATGCAGCCTGTACCCTTCCCTCCTGATGCCCTCATCGGTCCAGGAATCCCTCGCCATGCCCGTCAGATCAACACTCTGAACCACGGGGAAGTCGTGTGTGCAGTTACTATCAGCAACCCCACGAGACACGTGTACACGGGTGGGAAGGGGTGCGTCAAAGTCTGGGATATCAGTCACCCTGGCAACAAGAGCCCTGTCTCTCAGCTGGACTGCCTGGTAAGTGAATAGGAACTTATTCACAAGGGTAACTTCTCCTTGGAGATCAATAAGGAAATAGCTGTCCTTGTCTGGATTTTATTCAAGGAAATAGCAGGCGGTTCTGTTTCCTGCTTTATCCATCATTTTCTTTTTACTAAACAGGTGGTGTTACAGTGGAAGAATCCTGATTTGTTTAGGGATAAATATTGTCATTAAAGGTCAAATTATATGTTAGTTAGGACTTCTGAGCAAACAATGTTCCTGAGTGTATGTTTGTGGGTATGTGGGATGTGTGGGTACGTGTGTTGTGTGTGTAGGGGATATCTTTTTGCCTCTTTAGTCATGTTCATGTTTTTCCTACTGCGTAAGTTTAAAAGGAATATAGCCAAGCTAATACAGAACTGCACAAAACACTTCAAGGTTTTTAACTCGTGAGAAGTGCCTTTTTAAGGAGATAGCAATTATATAAGGAAATAATATGTCGAGTATCAAGATCACTTCAAGTTTTAGAATCATAGAATCTCATAGAATCATTATGGTTGGAAAAGACCTTCAAGATATTTGAGTCCAACATTTTCATTGCTCTTGTGAATATTAGGCATTTTGTTTGTTTTCACCTCTGTTGGTTACCAAACAGAATGGAGTAGTAGGCTAGTCAGCTGAGAATTCACTGATCCTTAATAAAGGTTTCTTCTGGAACTAGAACTAGTATTTGGAATGAACCCAATATGTGAAATATTAACCGAGAAGAATTAATATCATAAAAGCCCAGCAATATCTATTTTGAATGAAATAATATTAGTTAAAATATTAATCAAAATAAATGTGTTTTCTAAGTCTTTGCTCTTTCTTTGCTGTTGTGCCTGGGTCAGCTGTCTAGTAGTAAAAGTATGGCTGAATATGTATTCTGTTTTGTGGCACATGCATTTGTCTGGATGCAATAGTCTTAGCTGCTTTCATTTAAGCCATGAAGCTTTGTGGCTGTTAGTTACTCAGCAGCATTTCTACCACACAGGTTATTGTTCCTTCAGCGTAATAAGAAAATGTAAAATAAGTTTTGAACTTTTACAGTATTTTTTTGTTTTGAGTTACAGATCTTATTCTTCTATCTTCTGAAGAACTCTCCCATATTAATTTGGCAGCTCATATAAAGAAGTTGACATCCAGTACACTTATGGAGTCAAGTGTGTAATGAGTGAAGGCTGAATTTTTTTCCACCTTCAAATCCCTATAGTACTTCTATTTCAGCGATTGTATCATAAATGTGAAAATATTAACATGAATACAATGCTCAACATGCTCAACAATAAAGGTTCAGTAAAATTCCTTGTTAAGACAAAAAGCAAAATCAAAAAAAAAACCAATATTTTTACTCAATTCTGAATGTAAAATGGTGTTTAAAGAAAAGCTCCAAAACCTCAAAAGCATGAGACTTGCAGTTTTTTCATAAGTGGTTTCTTAAATACGAAATTGAGAGTTCTTTTGCTTTTTTGAAAATACCCCTGTGGTGTAGGTGATTCTGGCTGACGAAGTGCATACATGCACAAATGTAGGTTTACTTTGGCTCTGTCTTCTGTAACAACAAGGAGGCATTGCCTTTCATCAGGTTCAAAACAGAGCAAGCTGTGGCAATATAAATCCGTAGCATAATTTCTGCAGCTACAGTCTCTGGTTGGTGATGAGACAGTCGCTTGAAACCCTTTAGGGTCTGCTAGTTTCTTTTCTGTATTTTAGTACTGGAAAAGTAGTCTACTATTTAAAATTTGGATGAAGTCAGAGTTATATGAGTGGTCAGTACCAGCAGGCATGTGTTAAGTGTTGATTTGTGTTGTACAGAACAGAGATAACTACATCCGCTCTTGTAAATTGCTGCCTGATGGATGCACCCTCATAGTTGGTGGGGAAGCCAGCACATTGTCCATATGGGACCTGGCAGCACCAACTCCTCGTATAAAAGCAGAACTGACATCTTCAGCCCCTGCCTGCTATGCTCTGGCTATCAGCCCTGACTCCAAGGTGTGCTTTTCCTGCTGCAGTGATGGGAACATAGCAGTGTGGGATCTGCACAATCAGACATTGGTCAGGTAAGTCATTACTTGTTTACACAATACTTTAATAAAAGTTACTCTTTGGACGGCTAGATAAATATTTATTTCCCTGTATAATGGTTCATGACAGCAAAGTAAATAGTATTTCTTATGCAAAGAATGCAGTTTGAACCTGAATTGGGTAGCAGCTAGATTTAGTAGCTTCAGTCTAGTCCATTTTCCAGAACATAAAGGGCTGTTCTGTAATCTGTTGAAATCATTGTAGAAATTGGTAGGAAAATGCCATTTCTTCTTTTGTCTTGTCTTAAGCCTTCTTCAGTAAGAAAGTTTTCAGTACTTGTTTAGTGATGATAAATAATAACCCGCAAAAAGTAACTGAGAGCGCAGATTCTTCCAATTCTTTAGGAAAGCATAAGGGACTGATATTTCATTATTCATGGGAAACATATTTGCTTTTTCATTTTCAGAGAATTCAGTCTTTAAATGTTACAAAATGGGTCGCAGAGAGTGTGATCGATGTCTAGCATTAAGATTACTTTTGAAATCTCTTTGGTTAAACCTTTAATTAACAAATATCTTAAAATAAGATTGAAATGTCTGGCTGGGCAATATTCAGTGATAGTATTATGAATGAGGAAGAAAGATTGGGCTATGTGTGAAGTGCCTCACAGCAACTAATTCTAAAAGATGCAATATACCTGAAAGATATATTTTGATTTATGCTTACCAAAGTTGTGATTATTTAGAATAATGTGAGAAAGGAAGATCTGAATTGGGAAAGGCTGTGTTTTTATTAGAAAGCTTCAAATATATAGACTGCTTTGTCTGCTGTGTTTCAGTTGGATCTCCTGTATATCAATAACTAGCCTAAATATACGTAGTGAGATTCATATTCATGTGCATGAAAAGTCTTCTGACAAAGGATGAAGGAAAGTTTGAGTTAACCTTTTCATTTCTGAAAGCGAGGAATTCCTAATGAGAAGGTTTTAAAACAAAAGGCACTGTTTAGCTATTTTGTTCATCTCCTGCCAAAGAGAATGAAACTTTCCTTATCCAATAGTGCTTGCTCTTAAATACACGAATCCCTTCTCCTGCTAGTTATTTAATCATCTTAACTCATAGCTAAAGAAAAATCCAGAAACACTTTTTTTAAAATTGGAGGATTTATTTTTTCCCTCAGCACTTCTTTTATTTTAGAGTTGTTTACCAGTACTTTCAAGTATAGAAGGTATGCTTCTTTTTTAGATCTGATAGGAAGTGTTTGAGTTTGTCTGGCTAGGTGTGATGCAATTCACTTCTAGCACCTGGAACATGTTTTTGTAATACTGTTGTATTTCATACCCAGTCAGAGGGAGGGGCTGATTTTTCCCCATCAGCAGTCACAGAAGAGATGACACAGAGAAAGCCCAAAACTAACACTACAACAGTGTTTACCTTGAGCTCTGGCAGGAAATCATTATTCAATCTGGTTTGTTTTATCAGGCAATTCCAGGGCCACACAGATGGAGCCAGCTGTATTGACATTTCTAATGACGGTACCAAGCTCTGGACGGGAGGTTTGGACAACACTGTCAGATCCTGGGACTTGCGAGAGGGGAGACAGCTACAACAGCATGACTTCACATCACAGGTAACTGCATTTTGCTACAACTTGAAGGAAAAAGAAAAAAATATATTTGTTTAAGATGCTAGTTGAGAACTGAGCACAGTACAACTGGGAAACTGTCCCTTCTGTTTGTTTTGGCTGTGCGTAACACAATATTTTTGAGCTTTCATGTATTTATTTTCTGGAATGATATGTTAGCTTGAGTGACATTGCTCTCTTTCCC